CGGAATATGTCTTAATTACTAGGCTTGATTTGTAATGTCTAAACTATACTCTTAATAATAACATGACTATACCTAACACGAATTGTCGAGTCCGTATTAAACAATAATAACTACGCGAAAAGAATGACAAAAATAGTAATATGAATTTTTTGATCGATAACATTAATATGATCATATTTTTCGTTTGGACGTACATAAAACAGATCAAATAAAATACACACACACAAACCTGAATAAACCACCATATTAATTCGATTGAATTATATTCCACTATTTTCTTCAATAGACTATTTTGAAACTCTAGGATTTGATATGAAAAATTTATCACCTAATAAGCAAGCTAGCTATTAACCATGCAATAATAATAATTTCATACATTATTTTCTTCTATAGACTATTAGATTTTGAAAGACTCATGAAAAAGTTTTAAATTCATGAACTGAAACAAATGTAGTCATAATGCAGAATAAAGTCACACTCACCATTCATTCTTTCTTACCCAGGAGTGAAGAAGGACAACTGGTATGATTTCCCTAACAATGATTTTATCTCTAATGTTCTTAATTTCTTTGATGCAAATCTAGCCAGGAACATCAAATATCTAAGAGAGAAGCTTCGAAGGAAAAGACAGGCCGAGAGATTAAAAGATGGGGAACTTAGGGACCCCGGGGATGACAACCATTCCTCGGACCTTTATTTATCTTGATGAGTAATTGCTTGAGTGCAGGTTTGGTATATCTTATTTATAAATGATGTTTAAAATTGCAACTTGGAATGTTAGAGGTTTGAAAAAACCATCTGAGCATAGAACTATTAATAGTTTTATTCGAATTAACCAAATAAATTTGTGTTGCTTTCTTGAAACTAATTAAAATGTCTACGGATGGTTTTAAAAATTATGTTTCTAATGTATGGCCGGGTTGGGTGCATGAAACTAATTTTGACCTTTTAAATGGTGGGCCATCATGTGGGACCCCAATTTTGTGAACTGTGTTTTTTTAGAAATTGGAAAACAACACATGCATCTCAAATGCACCTGTCGGGTTACCCAGAATGTTTTTATTGCCACTTTTGTCTATCCTTTATACACTGTGCTTGAACGGAAAGAGCTATGGGAACACCTAACGGAGTTGGGGATTTCCGTAAAACACCCGTGGCTAATTAGTGGTGATTTTAATTGTGTGTGTACGCCAAACGAAAGGGTGGGTCCCACCCCCCCGACGGCGTACATGATGCAACATTTGTTTGATTTCATGCTCTCGGCAAGCCTACAAGATGCCCCTTCTACGGGTGTTTTCTACACGTGGAATATGGGTACTCTTTGGGCTAAGCTAGACCGAGTTTTGATTAATGACGTTTGGGGACAAAGTGGCTTTGGGTGTAAGGCACATTTCCATGAAATTGAAGTGGAGTTTGATCATTCGGCATCCGTTATATCACTACTTCACAACTCTACGCCGAAACCCAAGCCATTTAAATTCTTCAACTAAGGATTAAACATAAATTTTTTTCTAACATAGTTGCGCAGGTTTGGCATCAAGAAGTTGCTGGCACGGCCCAGTACACATTTGTTAGAAAGTTAAAAATGTTAAAAGGGCCTCTCAAGAAATTAAATGATAGGGAATTTGGCCACATCTCCAAGAAATTAGTTTGAAGTATTAATTAAAATAGTTTTAATTAGTTGCATTACTTTTGTATTCATTATTATATTTGTTGCAAATTAATATTTGTTACATTTTTAAGATGGAAGGTGGTAGATATTCGGTTGATATGAGTAACCTCGAGCGCAACCGAAGGAACGCGATTGGGAGGAAGAAATCCCGCAAAGGTACAGAACTTGCCGGCTCTTGATCTCAAAGCCGAGATGATTTTGAAACGGGTTACCAAAGGAGGGATGGAAATGCAATGTCTGAAGAACAACTACAACAAGAGTTGGCCTGACATAATAACCGCTTTCTCCAACAAGAACAAATCCCGTTGACCATTGACGAAGATGAGCTCGAGGATGACGATGCGGATGAACTTGAACTGGAGACGGGCGATGGTGACGGCAACCACGACGAGGCGGACGAGCCCACCTCATCCCAACCCGGTAAGAAAAAAAGTAAATCTGAACTAATGCAAAACAATTTTGATAAGTGGAAGGACGCACAAACCGGGTTTTGGCACGCAACTTGCAAGTGGTGCAACAAAAATTATAGCTTGGGGACCTCCGGCGGATACGGATCCGCCGCAAGGCATCTTAAGGCAAAGCACCCCGTGGAGTATGCAAAATTAGGCACATATTCCGCTTATTTATGAAGGAAAAGTTTTTAAAATATTATGCACATATTCCGCGTATTTATGGTATTGCATTTATTCTATATCCTCGTTTTAGACTAGCTAATTTGGAAGATTGTTTCAACTTCTATTATCTTTCTTTTTTTTGGTGAATTTCCAATGTATGACGATAACCCCGTAGATCCGAAAACGGAATACAATGAGGTCAGTGCTTTATTTTATGCCTTATTTAATGAGTTTCATGCACAATATGGCAACACGCCCCCTCCCCTGACACGTACATCTTCATCTAAAGGAAAATCAATTTTTAAATCTGCATTTGGCAATCTTATGAAAAAACTAAAACAACTCTCGCTACTGAACAAAACACAATAAATGAGATTACTTTGTATTTAACATATGAAGTTGAATTTGAATAATATGATGACTTTGACGTTCTAAAGTGGTGGAAGTCAAATGAAAGAACGTTCCCAATTTTAGCAAGGATGGCTAAGCAAGTGCTATCAATGCCCGTTTCAACAGTTGCAGTGGAACAAGAATTTAGTTCGGCAGACAACGTCCTAACGGCATCTAGAACGAGATTGAGCGCAAACTCTCTTGAGACGCTTATATGCTACCACGATGGGTTGAAGGCCGCACGTAGAACTTAAGAAATGAGCATCACTCCCTCCCAAGACTTTATGGATGACTCAACAACCGATGGTGGCTCTACCTATGCCGGAGATTCCGATTGATTAGTACTACGTATTTTAGAATTTATTATAAAATGTATTTTGATGTTTTAATCTTTCCCTCAATTCTCAATTGTAATTTGTAAACTTGTACTTCATATGTAGCACTTCTCAAATTAATTAATCGGTTACAAACTTACAATTAATTTTCTAAAGGCTGTTTATAAATTAAAAATAGCTTTACAATATGTAATTTGTTTAAATACACCTATTTTATAACATTTGTAAATTATAAATAAACCACTTTTCTAAGTAAAAATAGTTTTACTTAATTCATTAAATTAATTAACTTATTTTACAATATGTATAATTTTCAAATAAAAAATATTTAAAAAAATTTAAAAACAAAAAAGCTCCCAAACGGCTATATAGCCGTTGGGGCTTTGGGTGGGTGGGTGGGGGGGGGGGGGGGGGGCAGGGGGGGTCCCGGGGGTGGTGGTGTGGGGTTCAAAAATTTCTACAAATACATCTATTTTCTAACATTTTTCTACACCTCTTCTCCAACTCTTCTCCATCTTCATCTTCTCTTATTATCCTACATTCCTACTTATACATCTTCCATTTTAAAGATGGAAAGTAAATCTTCCCTTATGCAAAACAATTTTGATATGTGGAAGGACCCGAAGACCGGGCTGTGGTGGGCAACTTGCAAGTGGTGCAAGAAAGAGTGTAGCTTGGGACGTTCACACGGATACAGGATGCCCATAAAACATATGAAGTCCTGTGACAAAGGGAAAACAACAAGCAACGGTGACGGAAATTCCGATTGTTACTTATTAGAAAATGTATTTCATATTGTAATTTTTTTCTCAATTCTCAAATGTAGTTCCTATTTCAAATAAATGCACTTGAACTTTGTTTTTAACAAGAATTTGTATAAACTATAATTCAAAAAAAAAAAATTAAACATGACCCGGCCCGGCCCGGCGGGTGGCCCGACCCGTGACCCGGGCGGGTGGCCCGGCCCGAACCGGCACCGGCCATAGCACGGGCCAGTCCCAAGCCTCCTTCAAAATACCCGAGGCCCGACCGGGCCTAGGCCCGGCCTGGGTCAATGACTAATCTCCTCTACTTTGTGGCTTCTCTCCGTTTGAAAATCTTTTTAAAAAATCTCCTAACTATTTCTTTGTGCACGTGTTTGACCGCTCTTGTTTTCCAAATATCTATGCCTCTTCTTCCAAAAGGATTGAGAAAATAATTAAAATAAAGGGAGTTGAGACTTGCTAAAAAGACTCATTGAGCGTTATAGTATCACTTATGATGGGTATTTGTTGAGTGTGAGATTGATTACAATAGAATATTAGAATTATGGCTGGACTCGGGCCGGTTCGGGCCCGGTTCGGGCCTGGGCCCGGCCGGGCCTCGGGCCAGAAAACTAGGGCCCGGGCCCGAACCGCCGGTGGGCGGTTCCGGTTCCGGTTCCGGGCCAAACCGGGCCGGGCCGGGCCGGGCCGAACCGGCCCACTTAATTTTTTTTTTTTTTTTTGGTCTCCTATTTAATCCCCTACCCCTCCCCCTCAACCCCAAACCATCCCAAACCACCTCAAATGGCCCAAAATACCTAATCCAACCTAAAACTTAAAAAAATTTCAAAAAAAAAAAAAAAAAAAATTAAAATCCGGCCCGAACCGGGCCCGAACCGGCCGGGCCGGTTCACCAAAACCTGGGCCCGGGCCCGAACCGCCCAGCAGCCGGGCCGGGCCGAACCGAACCGGTGGACCCTCCGGGCCCCGGGCCGGGCCGGGCCTAACAGTAACCGGGCCGGGCCGGTTCCGGGCCGGGCCGCCCGGCCCGAGTCCAGCACTAATTAGAATGCTGAATGCCTTAAATCAACAAAAAAGAAATGACTTAAAAGATTGATGGGCTCATTTTTGAATAAACAACGGTGTTATGATCATCAAACATCATCTAACTTAAATGTCTATGGATTGATTATACTCCACTGCACATTTTGTATGAAAAAAATATTGAGTAACCAGTGGACAGAACTGGAAGTATGCCAAACGGATACTCTGGTTTAGCCGTTTAGTTAATGACGACGACTATGCTACGTGCTTCCATACCAAGGGAACTGATTGTGAACTCCATTTTATCAACCAACCATATTACAATTATCATCCATTTCTGTTTTGTAACAAAATTTCGCAATATGCCCACAAAAGGCGTGTTAGCAAGTATATAGACAGTGTTTTTTGTGGGTGAGAAGTATCTGTCACTGGCCATGAAGGTGGATGCTCCCCACTCAGTCTTCTACAGGAATATTTGTATAGCTGCATTCGGAACTCTCTAATTCCGTACCATTCCCTTTCAGCTTCAGTTTATTCCGTGATATTTTCCATATCTGCACAAAACTTCTCCTGCATATGCAACAACAATCAAACATTACTCCGTCCAAGTCATGCTCATTTTTTGGGTATCCCGATTTTCTATCAAAACTGATCATGTATTTATTTGCCATCACTAAATGAAACTTGTGATAATCTCAACTAAAAATGGTGCCGTATAAGGATACATGACCTTCCTAACTTCACCTTCTACATACTAATTCATTAAATTAATATAAAAATTGCTCCGTATTTTTTTAATATATGCTAGACCCCATTATGTCGTTCCAGTCACACTTTGAGCCATTATTTCAGCAAAACCAATCATCAAACTCTAACAAACCAGACGAGCTGTAGAAATGTGAATTTCTTTTTGGAACGCAAGTATAGCATATATAAGAGTTAATACTCGCTGGTCTGTCGACCATACAATCTTACTCAATTTGATCCTTAACTCTCTTCTTACTGAATTGTATTTTTATCTAATTAAGAGTGCATTTTAGTACATTGATGACCGAATTGAGTCTGAAATTAGGTCTAGCTTTAGTGAGCCAACAAATTTATTTTTCTTATTCCGATCCAAATATGCAGACGACAAAATACAATCCACATTTCATAGTCGAGGAGACTATTGGGTTGAATAAAAAGGAGGGGACGAAACCAAGTATAAGTGTATAGTCGATGGACAAAATAGGGTATTAACTCTATTTTAAGAGCACGACATAACTGAACAAGCCCAGGAAACCCTACACAATACATTTCCTAGAGCAGAAAATGTAGTAGTACCTCTGGCTCTCTGTTTGAATTACCTCCCTCTTTGCAAGCATTAGAGTCAAGAAGAGAGGAACCATTGCAGCACATAAATGCTTCAGTGTATGCCCACTCACAATATGATGAGTCAACTTATAAATTGGTTTATCCAATGCTTCCTCAATTTTAGCTATGAGATAAAATGCTGCATTATTAGATTGGAAAAGAAATTAACTTAATTAGTAGACCAAAATTAAACAGGAAAGCAGCATCATGTTAAATCATTCAAACCAACAAGCAAATAAAACACACCGGCTGCCCATAACCAATATACTGAGTGTGTATACATTGGAGGCATTAGTATAGCCATTAGAGGGATGGCTAAGCACGGAACAAACTGAACAACTGCATAAGGACGTAGATCATCAAAATATCTGCAATTGAAACCATTACAATCATTCAACAGCTTCAAACTGAAATGCTGTTGAAATGGGAAATGTATGTGACTATATACACCATTCTGCCATTTAACATAATTGCTTAGATGGGAATAAGCAGGGGCATATCTAGAGTGGGGGCAACTGCCCCCTCTCAACCCCAACTAAACCCCTATATATATCAGCGTTGTCAATCCCAGATAGCGAAGAGTGGGGGCAACTACCGCCGTCTCATATTGGTTGTCCTGTTTTAATTTGGCACAATTATTTATAAAGTGGTTGAAAAACCCGCTAAAATGCCCAGTGTTCCTGCACCTGTTTGAACAGCTTCGGTTAAGCCTGTTTCTATTTGAAAGTAAAATCTGTGGTTGATATTTGAGTAAAATAAATTGAAATGATAAGGACCACATATTTCTTGCCAAAAAAGGAAACATGACATTCATTTTGGACAATCTAAAAAGGAAAATAGGACAACCAAAATGGGACGGAGGGAGTAATAGATAAGTAACTAGAAGTATATAATTATAATACACACACATTTCAAAGTCAAAAAGTATGATATATGTCACTTATAGTTACAAACATCTTAACATTCATAAATACCTAGAAATACTATTGGTTTCATCAGCAAAACATATGATGTGATTAGTGTTTAAAACAACTCAAGTCAAAACATTGAATGAAAATCAAGTTTTGTAGAAGATGAAGCAGCAGATGTAGTGATATACTAGTACTAGAAAAAAGCAATGAGGCGTGCAGCATGTATCGTTCTTGTAGAAGATGAAGGAGCAAATGTCATTTCTTGAAGGAGAGATCATCACAACACTGGAGCAGAGAAGAGAAAATATATAGAGTATTTTTATAAGGTGGAGTTGGTTGTAAGGTTCTACACACGGGTTTTAAGTTGATTTCTATTTATTTTTAAAAGTCAATTTTATCCTTAATCCTTATACATATGCAATCAATAATTACAGCACAAACCCTAACTGTATCTAACAGAGCTTTCATCTCTAAAAAAATGTCGCTATAGCGCACGCCTCTACCTGTATAGCGGCCGCTATAGCAGACGCTATTTCTGCTGGACCCAAACGCCACGCTACAGGTCGTAAGGTAGCGCCTGACCTATACTCCGCGCCGCCGCTATAGCGAACGGTTAACATCACTGATATATATATATATATATATATATATATATATATATATATATATATATATATATATATATATATATATATATATATATATAACCGAAGTTTATAAGAAATTTCTAAAAATAGGAGTTAAACATAGAAGAAATTTTAAAAGAGGAATAGCAGTGTTTTCTTCCCCAAATGTAGGATTTATGTAATCTATTAAAAGAATAAAGATTTTCATCATTTCCAATGGAGCCAAAGACTCACTGTTGTTTGGCTTGGGAATATGATGGAATAAAGTAAAATGGCTCACTAAACTGTCTGCACTTCTTTGTTATGAAGCAACAGTCAGCTATGCCATTTTTGACGCGATTATCATCAGGCTCATCCAAAAATAGTCTTTATGTGCTTTATTGTAGGGGTCAGGCTACGTGCATCTGACCCCCCCTCTACCCCACCGTATGTGGGGGCCTTTGCGGCACTGGGGTAATGTTGTTGTATTAAAAGAATAAAGGATAAAATTCCATAAATAAGAGTGCATGAGTCATATTTTTGGAAGAAAAGAATGACACTCTTTTTTGAGAAAATTTGTTGTATTTAACTTCTGTTTAGGGACTTTTATCAAATTTTATCTACAATTGCATCTTAGCACAAACGTAATATAAATTGATCTTTTTACACATATTTGTACATTTATAACTTAAACTGAGTCTAACTAAACAATATTAATAATGTAATCTGCTATGTGTGAAATGTGTGACTAAATTATAGTGTGAGTTCACCCTCACTCAGAAAATTTTCTAGGTACACCAGTGGGGCATAAGTTCCCAGTTCCCGTTCACCAAAGCCGGACTTCACGTTGTACTAAGTAGAACTTGTATATATACAAAAGTGTATTGCATGACTAATGTCCAACTTTTTTATTTTTGTAAGGTAAGACTGTCATGCATCATGAATGACACTTGCATTTTTTTTTAATTTAATTGTTGGCTTAACTAGATTTATCATATACAACTAGTCTAGGACTCTATTTTGTTGATTTTGGGAACTTATCTGAATAATTAGCCTAGCATGAGCGAAACAAGACTCTATTGAATAGATGGTGTGATATATTACTGTACATAATGTTTATTATTCCGTATTTTATAAAAAAGCACCAAAAGAAGGTTACCAACAATGCAACGAAATGCAAGTACTACTTAAAGCCTCCAAATAACAGTTAAAAACATCGAATTGGGAGCCTGGGAGTACATTGCTACGGTGCTTTAGTCCGTTCAATGCCTAATAAAAGTTTAATTTACGATTTGAACTATTGCAAGATTATGCATGGTAACTTCAAAAATGTAGAAGCTTACCTCCAATATAAAATACTTATCACTCCAGCCAAAATCAATGGGATAATAGACAAAGATCCCTTTCTCTCATCCACTCTCTCGATGACAAATATAGCAACGATAGAAGTGAACGCAACAGTCATCTGTCATATCATGCATCAAATGTCAAATAAAGCAATAATCACAAATAGTTTCTTTATTTATTCGCATTAGGCTCGTTTCTTGTCTTAATATGGCTTATTATTCTTATCAGCACAGATGTTACCAACTATTGTTCCTCACTAAAAACAGCAATCATGA